GGCAGTCCCTGCCTCGGCCACCGTCCCCTCTGCCGGGGTGCGGGCAGCCCTGGCAGGCAGCGCAGGCGCGCACATGCCCCAGGCACGACGGAGCGCGCTGCCACTGCGGCTCTTGGGGTGTGACACTTCACTCTTGCACAAGCCAGATTTATTCTGAGTCTGACCAAGTTTAATGACATCTCCAAAGGGTTAAACGTGACTGAGACCGTGAGCGTGCCTCCCTGCTACTCCCCGTTCTGCGTTAACTGCAGCAGCGACTCGTCCCTGACACCCCGCGAGGGCACGAGCAATGTAACGCAATGTCACGACCAGGAGAGAAGGCCAGTGCTCTGCCAAGGCGAGGCGACGCGCATGCTGCACATCCTGTGCACGCTGCCTGCAGCACAGCCGGCTGGGCGGAGCGAGCCAGATGTTCGGCAGCTGCACAGCAGCACTCAAATCTCACTCTCAGGGTACAATTTAGCTACCAGAGCTGAGGCACGTCCAACGGACTCGCAGCAAACCTTCGAACAGACCAAGGGGATTTATCTGACACAAACTGTGAAGCACTGCTGGGTGCTCCTGCGGGAGAGGAACTGAGCCATCTCCGGTCCAACGGGACGGGAATCTCCTGGGAAGGCTCTTGTGCAGACCCCACAGTACACAGCTACTGCCAAAATCAGCAGCACCCACCTTGTGCTGCTCTGAGGATGCTCACCAAAAAAAGAAAGACCTCCCACACTTTTCTCATGGAATCACATGAGCTACGTGGCTGCTGCAGGAAGCAGCATTTCCACATCACTGCAGCAAACAGCCCAAAAAAAGTCCTGAATGTCACGGGAAAGAGGTGGAACTGCCTCAAAAGTTAAAAAAAGATAGTGAAATAAAGGGAAAACCCCATATTTCAACAATAATGAAACCAACAAAAACCACAGGTTGATAAGTGTGTTGAAAACTAATAAATAGAGTAACTTAGGATAAGGGCATCAGGAGAAACAATGACCAAGGAACATCCTGACTCATTGCCCTGGAGTCCAGACAACATATGTGGGAGCCGTGACAGCACCCCGCCGCAGCAGGAGGGCACGGACACCCCCCGGCATGTCCTGCCGGAGCTGTCGCAACCCGTGGCACCGCGCTGCGGGGACACAGAGACGTGACTGTAGGGACTCATCAGCTCCGCTCGCTGCCTTGTTAACAACAGTGGAATTTTAGGATTTAGCCACAGACTTCAGGAACGTCATCCCCTGTCACTCTTGCTGCAGCACATCAGCTCTTCGGTCCCATGCGGACTGGCTGGGGGTGACAAGGCTCTAACAAAACCTCCCTGAGCCCCTCGTGCTTGACGCACTGGGTTGGGTGGCAGCGTCACGGAGGGAAGCTGTAACCTCATCGCCTTTCCTAAGTCATTCTGATCAGAGAAACAAAGAGCTTGACCTTTTCTAAGTGCAAAAGCTCCAGGGTAACTCAGCAAAACACACTTGAACACTCTAAATCTTCACCTGGCCAGCTTGGGAAGAGAAGCATTTTTGTGTCAATACACTTTTCACACCCAGAAACGAGCAGCGAGGCAGGACGGTGCCTTCCCCGGGAGCTGCCCTCCCCACCCGCACTTACTGGGGCTGGAGAGGATGTTGGCGTCTTCCTCGTTGGAGCTCAGCAGGCGCATGAGCTTGGAGGGCTGCGTGTCGTCCAGCGGGAACAGGCTGATGTAATCCTGGGGGGGGCAGAGGGGGTTCAGTCCCACAGCCCCTCTCTGAGGGGGGATCCTGGCCCCCATGTCTGGGACTGATGACCCACCCTGGGCCCTGCACAGCCCCACGGCCCAAGACTACGATCTCCGTTCACCCAGAGCATCTCAACCTGGGCCAACCACAGAGGGACACCTCATTACAGCTCCCCTTGCCCAGAAAAAGAGAAAGGGAAACCCCATCTTTTAAGGTCAAAGGACCTCAGACAGCCCAGAGAACCTGGGTAGGGAGTCTGGTCTCAGCTACCCACTCCTCTGGCCACCATCGCCTCCTGCAGACACTGCCCGCTCTTGCGCACAGAGAGCCTCCAACCAAACCCAACTCCACGCCGGGACGCACCTCAATATCCTCTCGGTGCCTCTTCTTCTGCCTGGTGGACGCCTGGCCCTTGTTGTGGGAGGAGTAGGAGCTCAGGGCACACCAGACGGAGAGCCTGGGGACAGAGCAGGGACACTGCGAGGTGCTGCCAGCCCGCCCTGATGATGGTGCACGAGCAAGGGAAGATGGCAGAGTACAGTGTGCGTCAGGACAGGGCATAGCAGGTCCCTCCTCAGTGAGAGGCAGCAGGGTACGGGGCCCAGGACACCCGCGTGTCTGCTCCTGTAGGCACTGAGCCAGGGCCAGAGTGGGAACCAGACGGCTGGGATCCCCGCCCCAGCACAGAGCATCTCCCCACCGCCCCAAACAGGCCCACCCACCCCCAAGGAAACGGTGCCCATGGGTCTGGGGTCTTACTTGGCCAGGGCCTTTCCCGGCGGGTCCATGAGGGTGTGCCACTTGGAGGAGTCTGTCAGCAGGTTGGGCAGGATGTGGCCCAGCAGGGTCCGCAGCTGCTGCATGTCCAGGCAGAAGATGGCATAGAGCAGCTCCACAGCCCGCAGCGTGTGCTCCTTCCGCGTCTCCTTCAGCAGCTCCTGCGAGGCGAGGGCAGGGCTGAGGGAGGCACGGGCACGGCTGCGCCTGCCCTGTTCACCTCCAGCACCCGGGACTGTCACAGCAGCCAGCCCAGGCACAACCAGGACTCCGGGGCACTAAGAGCATGGGCTAGACCCAGCAGTCCTGGGCTCGACACCCAGGCACGGCGCTGGGGGTTGCGGCTCTCCTTCAGCAGCTCCTGCGAGGCGAGGGCAGGGCTGAGGGAGGCACGGGCACGGCTGCGCCTGCCCTGTTCACCTCCAGCACCCGGGACTGTCACAGCAGCCAGCCCAGGCACAACCAGGACTCCGGGGCACTAAGAGCATGGGCTAGACCCAGCAGTCCTGGGCTCGACACCCAGGCACGGCGCTGGGGGTTGCGGCCACCTCCCTTCGCCCACCCATACCAGGTTGTTGCAGAACCAGTAGACACCCCCCATGTGCAGCAGGGTGTCGAAGATGTGGATGGAGCGGCTGTCGACCCAGCCCTTCTCCAGCACCTTGGTGAACACGCTCGTCAGCACCTCCTTGATGGGCTTCTTGGGGGGCAGCAGGTTCCAGTAGGGGATGGTGTCCATGCCCGTGGAGGGGAACTTGATCTGCGTGGCCGTCTGCTGCAGGACATCCGCGCACATGTGCTCCAGGATGGAGCTCATGATCACCACGCTGCAGCAGGGAGAGACGGGGTCACGCAAGCCCCAGGAAGCGCAAGAAAGGCAAGAGACTGCACGGCACAGGGCGTGGTGCACCGGAGCTCACCGCTCATTGTAGAACTGCAGCGTGTTCTCGCTGTACAGGGGGGTGGCCAGCTGCCGGATCATCTGCAGGGACTTCTCCCGCTCATCCAAGCCCAGCATGCGGACGTGGGCCACTAGCCAGGCCACCGCACACACTGCCATGCTGCACACCTTCCCCTTGATGTTGTCTGTGATTTTCTAGGAGAGGAATGGGAGCGGAGGTGGATGAGCACAGACATGTGGATGCACAGGCTTTATCTCAGCATCACCTCCCGGGGCTGTGGGCCCCGATTCCACGGGGCGAACCTGCCCCTGCAGCCCCACCGCCACTAACAGGGCGGTTCGGGGAAGCATCAGGGGCTGGAGCCACGTCAGTTCCCCACCCAAGTCATGAAGGAGCCAACAAGCTCCTCAGCGGCTGCAGGAACATTCAGGGCAGGAGGACAGGGGACCCCTGCCCGGCTCAAGCCGTGGCCCCTCCTCAGGACACAGGGCAGTGCCGGTGCCCCTGCTCTGCCCCACACTATCCTCCCGCCAGGCCCACCTGGATGGACTCGAAGGTGAGGACACTGTTCTCCCAGGCATTGAGAATCTCCAGGATGGCGGCTGAGATGCTCAGGCATGCCTCATGCCACTTCATCTGCCTGCCAGGGAAGAGAGAGGCGGGGGCTCAGGCGCTCCTTCAGGGAAGATGGGGTGGGTGCTCTCCTCCCGGTCCGCCCCAGCCCGCAGGCCAAGCTCTTACACCAGCTTCATCTCGGAAGAGTTGTTCAGGAGAGCAACCAGGGACTCCACCTTGGTGGAGTCGGGGCGGAAGCAGGGGTGGTCGGGGTTGAGGATCTTCCCCTCCTCGGGCATGCAGGTCAGCATCCAGGTTTCGAAGAAGGGCACCTCGCCCGCCGGGCTCAACTCCGACAGGATCACCTGGAGGGGAGCCGGCACAGGGTCTGCCACG